GCGGGAGGGTCAGATCCTCTCTGAAGGGGTTTCACTGACAGGTTCAGGTGACTGACTGGATATGATCTTGAGGTTTTAGCACAGGCAACCATGGATAGCCTAACCTTCTCACAGGCTGAGGGGAAGAAGGGCTTAATGAGGGGGGACATTAAGCCCTGAATCTTCATGGTGAAAAGCAGGGTAAGGGGTCAAGGAGCAATCTGGCAGACAGTCCTGCTGGGAGGGACGGCAAAGAGCTCCACTTCCCCAGGGGGACTGTCCAGGGTGCGGTTTGCTCTTGACTTCATGGGATGTACTTCTGTAGAAGACAGGCTAAGGCCATGTGTGCGTGGTGGTAGAGAAATGGGACTGGGGCTTGCTCGCTCAAAAACCTGCTGCAATGCTGCAGTTGTCATGGCTCGGTGCTCTGGGGCTGCCACTGCCATCGCCATCACATTGCTTCCTGTGATGGGAAATGTTGCAGCCTCTGCCCTGGGCACCAGTCCTGCTGGGAAGTAAGTGTGATTGCTTTTCTCAGGTAGCACCAGTCAAAGGAAAGGAAAAGAAACAGCAGGAGGCCTGAGAGCAGTTCAGGAGACGCAGCATCTGTTGTATCCTATTCCCCAGTCAATTTGTGCCCCCTGCCCAGGGTTCATCTAATCAAAGAGCACAAATACTGAGAGGGACAGGCTGGCACCTCCCATCTCTTGCCAAGTGGGACAGGGTCATCAGCACGGCTTGTAGAACCACAGGAAAATTGCACAGCTGTGGAATGTCAGACATTTAAGAACTCCTCCCACCCTGGCCGGTTTGGCTCAGTGGAGCGTCGGCCTGCGGACTGAAGGGTCCCAGGTTTGATTCCGGTCAGGGGCATGTACCTTGGTTGCGGGCACATCCCCAGTGGGAGGTGTGTAGGAGGCAGCTGATCGACGTTTCTCTCTCATCGATGTTTCTAGCTCTCTATCCCTCTCCCTTTCTCTCTGTAAAAAATCAGTAAAATATATTTTAAAAAATTAAAAAGAAAAGAACTCCTCCCTTACTCTAGTTGCTTTGGGCATTTTATTTCCCTGTCCTAAGAGCCCCACCTGCTCCAACATCTTCTACCAACAAAATTGCAATTGACCTTATTCAAACATCTCATTGCTACCTGAGGGGGCCAAGGTAAAAATAATCAAATCTACGGCTTTTCTGGAAGGCAGTTCATAATCTGAGCCTAATGCCCTGGGTCAGGAAAGAATAGAGGATGTGTGAGTGTGTAGGATGTGAGCATACACAAGGTGGTGAAAGCTCTTTCTAATTGCAACATGTAGCCATAGGAGCTATTAGGTGGTTCAATGGGAGTGGAAAAGAGAACAAAGTCCTGGTATTATTTTCTCTGATTCCCAACAAAAACGCAGCTAGGGGGATCAGTCACAGCTTCAGCCCTCCCCACAGCGAGCCTTTCCCCTCCTTCCCCGCTGGCCTGCAGCATTGTTCCTTCACTCAGCCGAGGACACAGAGCACTACTTGGCTGATGAGCTGATTTTTATGCTTCTTTTTCTCAAGCCCAAAGCAAGTGGCATCCGTTAGCAGCTGAACTGTCGCTACTTTCTTAATGGACATGGCGATAACCCCCCTCTCCCCGGCCCCCGCCAAAAAAAAAACCCACCTCCCGGCCCAGTGACAGCATTTCTATATAATCAGATTGGAGGAAGAAGCCAGTGTTGGAGTGGGAAGGGGGAGAAGGGCGTTGAATAAGGAAATCAATTTCAGCTTGAAAGCTCTGAAAGGAGAGGGGACGTGTGAATGGCTCTTTAAGTGGCATCATTAAACCTGGGCAGAAAGGTCGATTGGGCAGAGCAAACCACATAAATACAAACAGATGACATTTATGTCTGGCAGAATTGGTTTTTGGTTAGTTGTTTTTTTTGAAATCACTGAGGTAGAAGACTGATAAGGCTTCTTTCTTACCACCAGGAATCAAATCTATGGACAGGAATGGTGAGAGGAATAAAATCCACAGCATCTTTCCAAAATTACAGAATAGAATACAATAGTATCTGGTCTTTTTTCCCTTTTTGTTGGGGAGAGGGATTTCTTCAGGGAGTGAGAGAGAACACAGTCTCAGCCTTGGTAAACCCTCAGCCACAAAACGAGCCAGTGAGTATGTGGGAGGCTATGTCTGTATGTGCCTCGCCTGGCCACGCTGCTGTGTCACTGAGTGGGAGTCTGGGTACGGGCCTCACTGCCATTTTATGTGTGTGCATCTTCCCCAGACCAGCATCTCTGCAGAAACCTTAAGAGACTTGCAAGCCATCATTTTGGTGGAAAGAAAGTTGATTCCTGGGGTTATAGTTATGTCTAAGATCATAGTGTAGGAATTAAGATCCAGGCCTGGGGGTAAATTGGGCAACTACAAAAATGTATTAATAAACCAGAACAGTTGTTCCAGGAACAGTCAACCCTAATCCCTGCCTTTATTTTTGGAAAAGTGACCATGTTGCTTCATGGGAGAAGGGCGGGTAACTGTCCTCTGAAGGTGACATAGAGCCCTTGTGGGCTATGCAGGTCTTCTATCTTCCTAGTAAAGGGTAAAATGGAAAGGAAGACAGAAGAGGTACTTTTACTCCACTTCCTCTTAGATTTTTATGAGCAGGAATTGAAGACTTTTAAATCAGTGGTATTGTGAATATGGTCTCTTAGATGTGGGTGGAACAGAGGGTCCTATCATCTAGGAAAATCCGGAAGCCTAGGATCAAGCAGGGAAGAAAAGAATTATCACAGAAAATTCTGAAGAAGCAAGGGAACTAGATGATAAAGTGGGTTTCCCTCCATTTCTATTGATTAGGGAAGAGCCTGATCACCTCCTTCCAATCCCAGCCCAGATCTCTAAGTGCTGCCAACTTTCAGAATAGCTGTTTCAGTTTATTTAGCCCAGCATTAGGTCCAGAGGAGGTAATGAAAAATTCTTTCACCTGGTTTGTTTCATATTCAAAGACCTTATATTTGAAGATGAACAGATATATAATCATAGAGACCCAATAGATATACTGATATACCAGCAAGGATAATATATCCATATGCACACATTTACTTTTAACAAATAAGAGAGAAAATGCCCTGTGGTATCAAGCACCACCAAAGGCTACAGTGGTTCTTGGAGCTGGTTTCTACAGTTTCCATACCCTGATGGGAATGTCAAGGTCAAGTGCCCCTGGCGATACTAGGAGAAACAGCTAGAGAGACCAATCCTATATAATAAAAACCTAATATGCTAAGTGTCTGGCCATCCATTCACCCAAAGCATAATATGCTAATAATATGCTAAGGTCGCTCAACAGCTCACTATGATGTGCATTGACCACCAGGGGGCAGACGCTCAGACCGGTAGGTTAGCTTGCTGCTGGGGTTCAGCTCATCAGAACTGAGAGAGACGGGCCAGACACATCCTGGAGCCCTCCTGCAGTCCCTCCCCAGCTTGGCGAACCTCCCGCGTCCCTCCCCGGCCCCAATTGTGCACCCGTGGGGTCCCTTGGCCTGGCCTGCACCCTCTTGCAATCCAGGACACCTCGGGAGATGTTGGAGAACCAGTTTCAGCCCGATCCTGCTGACCAGGCCAAGGGACCCCACTGGTGCACGAATTTGTGCACCAGGCCTCTAGTAATATAATAAAAGGTAAGGGCTGTTGAATTTAAAATCTCTCAGCCTGTGAGAGATCCATGTTTGGTCTGGAAAAAGTCATTGCTCCTTGAAGGTAACAACTGATTCTGTCTATGAGCAAAATTAATTCTGGAATCCACTCTCCGGAACTTACCATGAGTATAAAATATGTTATGTGAAAAATAGTACATTTCTAAATGGAGAAATTGGCAAAAATACCTCCCTCTCCCCAGCAGAGGGCACTCCGATATTCCCACAATAGAAGTACATTAAGACCTCCTGCCTTCCAGAACCCCTTAAGTTTCTTTAACTGCAGTGTAAAACTATGTTAGGGTGGGATGAAAGGGAAAGAAACAAGGGCAGCTGCACTTAGTGTACTGGGGGAGTTCTTGGCAAAGGCAGACAGTGAAAGGGTGCATGACACAAGCCTGTTCACCTGGGAGAGTACAGAAGCCTGTTGAAAATGTGTTATTGAGAATGCAGCATAGGATGTAGAAATTCAAAAGACCAAAGTTCAAGTTCTAGGACTGTGACTTTAGGCAAGTCATTTATCCTTTCAGGCTTAAATTTCCCCTTCATGAAGTTGTAGTAAGAATTAAAATGATAAAATATATGTGATCACATACAAAAAACTGCTAAACAAATCTAAGATACGACTTAAAAGCATTTGATCAGCCTTGCTCACACTCCCACGAGGGGGGCAAAAAAGCTGTCATAGGAAGAATTCGTGTAGGAGACAGAGGTAAGCACTTCATGTCTCAAATGCATGTGGTAAATGTAATGGTGAATTCAGAAAAAGGAAAATAAAACAAAATACGAAGGACTTGTGGCTGCCCAGGGATGGGGCAGCTAACCTCACCTTTCTTTTTTTTTTTAATTTTTAAAAAATATATTTTATTGATTTTCCACAGAGAGGAAGGGAGAGAGATAGAGAGTCAGAAACATCAATGAGAGAGAAACATCGATCAGCCACCTCCTGCACATCCCCCACTGGGGATGTGCCCGCAACCCAGGTACATGCCCTTGACCGGAATCGAACTCGGGACCTTTCAGTCCGCAGGCCGACGCTCTATCCACTGAGCCAAACCGGTTTCGGCACTCACCTTTCTTGAGAGGTCAACTTCAGCACCCCTGGAAAACACCAGCCAGGATTCTGGCCTTTCTTCCTGATGGGGTCACACCATCCCTGAACTCTCTCTACCCTTCCCAGATCTAGAGCAGCATTTGCTCTTGCCAGTGCCCAAGACCACTCCCCCCGCCTGCCTCCCTCCGCCCTCCCAGCCCCGGCAATTTTTATCATCTTACCTGAGAACTGCTGTGGCATCTGTGGTGGGCTGCAGGGAGAGGGAGACTGAGGCATCTGGTACTGCTCAGAGCCAGGAGGCTGCAGAAATCCCACAGAAGGGCTGGGGAAATACAGAAGAGAGGAGTGGTAAAGAGGTAGAGGGAGGAACACAGCTCATGGCAAACAGCTGCTGCTGCCTGGGCCTTCCCTATGGGAAGCAGAGGCAGCTCCAAGCCATTTCCAAACCAATTTGCCATGCAATTTCTAAAATCACTAATCAGTTCAAAGTTAATTATATATATATTTGTACTTGATCATCTTTCAATTAGGAAGCTGCTAATCAGTGCTACAGATGGAATGTCAGTGACACATGCTCCTCCTAACAGTGTGGAAACACCAGATACATACATGTGCATACATGCACACAACACAAATACACGCACACTCTGATAAACATAATAGACACACAGACAAAGAGAGTGCCAGAGACAGGTATACAGTGCAAGAGAGAGATGGGTAAGAGAGAACTATGGAGATGTATGATTTAGGATATTTACACAATGGCAAACACAGATAGTCACCTGAAGACAAATAGGGAAAAACCCCCATGAAGCTCAAGACAACAGGAGACATACATATAAAAAGACATAAATAAACACATACACATTGAGAGAGACACACAGAGATACCTGCAAGGAGGCCCAGACTTGAGTTCTAGTTCCAGCTCTGCTTTTAACTAGTTGTATGACTTTGGGTAAGTTCCTTAATATCCCTAGCTAGAACTTCTTCATTAATTAAAAAAAGGGAGAGCCCAGCTGGTGTGCGTCATAGGTTGAGTGTTGACCTATGAACTGGAAGGTCAAGGTTAGATTTCCGGTCAGGGCACAGGCTGCGGACTTGATCCCCAGAATGGGGTGTGCAGGAGGCAGCCGATCGATGATTACCTCATCGTTGATATTTCTGTCTCTCTCTCCCTCTCCCTTCCTCTCTGAAATCAGTAAAACAGTATTTTTAAAAAAGGGAGAAAAATAAAACAAGGGACGTGGACTAGATATTTCTAAGGTACTTTCTACCTCTAAAATTATATCAGCTATGGTCTATCCTAAGATACATATAAATAGACCATGTGAGATTCATCCATGGATATAAACAGAGGTATACAGAAAATTTTATATATATATATATATATGTATATATAAATTTTCCTCCAAATTGCTTCTTTTAATGATGAGCACTCTCTATCCCATAGTTCTGAATCTCACTGATTAGGAAAATAAAAAATGGGAAATCATAAAGCCTTTCTCTGAAGCAGGAATTTTTTCTGCTAATGAGCTCTTATGGATATGTCAAATCAATGAGGACAAAAGGAGAATGAACTCACTCATATTCTACTAGCTTTAGGGCACTACTGGGATCTCTACCCCTGCCTTTCTTTTCTTAGGTCAGTGAAAACAAAAGCATGGTGCAACCATTGCCAATGGTCTATGGGAGATGTATCTGGATTTTCGGGGATCCTTACCTCGTACCGTTCTGCTGACCTGCAGGGATCATGCTGTAGTACACTGGCACCCCTCCCGCCGGGAGACCCCCTTGCACAGATTGGCTTGCAGGGACCAGCATGGGTTGCTGGAAAGGCGGCTGGACCACATTTTGCGAGTCATTACCCACTGGAACCTGAGCGGAGATGAGAAGAGAATGACCACTCGTACTCCCAACGAGTTCATCCAAGAACAGACTAAGGCACTCTAACTTCCTCTCTAGCTCTCAGGGACTCCTCCTATTCTCATCTGCCTAAAGGAAATGCTCACAGAGCTACCTCCATTTCCCTCTTCTTCAAATACCACTCTTGAGCACCTGATGTAGAGAAAGGAGCCTGCTTCCCTTTAGGGTCTACTTTTCTGGGCATATACTCATTTGCGTGGCTGTATAAAGACCAAACAATTTAAATAAAGACTCTTCTCAGATTCTCTGGGCTTTCTCTCAGAGGGAAAAAACCTAAAAATTTAAGGGCGAAGTGAACAGTATTTTCCGTTAGGGTTGTCAGACTGGATGGCATAGGAGGCTGTCCTCCTTTCCCTCATCCTGAGGACGGGTAATCGTTCCCAATGCAAAATGCACCCACTTGGTAAGAAGGCAGTGGAGTATACTGAACCACCAGGCCTTGCATCTGGCCCCCCATGCCACTCCTCTGGCTGCTGAGCAGGCCCTGGTTCTGTGGCTGCTGGACCCCTATCATGCCTTGGTAAGCCGCCTGCTGCTGGTTAGGCATCATGGGCTGTAAACCTGGGGATGGGCAAGGAAGAGAAGACATTAGCATGGTCTCAACAATGTTTAGGAGGTCACACTCTATCAGCAATTTCTCTTCACCTGTCTATTTTGCCTTTCCTTTTTCTGGAGATCCTGGGTACCTCTTCAGGAATCTAATCATTCCTGCCTTTTTTTAAAAAAACAGGGACGGTAATTCTCTTCCCCAGTCTCCGCCCTTCCCCTATTCACTGTCTTCTTACACTAGCAGTTCCCCTTACCAGGCTGTTGGGATGGCTGAGGCAACTGTTGACCACGTTGGGGGCTGTAGGCCACCGGGTGAGAGAGAGGTCGATATTGCTGGTTGGAGTTAGGATACTGTCCAGGGGGATAGTAAGAAACCTGGATCTATGGTGAGAGGAAAGAGATGTGTGAGAAGGTCCCCAAACTATTAATTGCATCAGGGTTGATGGCCAAAAATCTGTAAATGGAGATACTTTGGGTCTGCAATTGCAGCATTGGTATACAAATTTGAAAAACAACAGGAAGGACTTGTGTCACATAGAAAGAAACCTTCTAACTAGAAAGACAACTAGTGGGAAATGGAGGTGAGGAACAGGTATCCCCTCTGGTCTGTCTAAATCAGAGGAGGAGGGAAGGATTATAATACTGGACACGCGGAATTAGTGATTTAAGCTGGGAACCAGAGCCACTCACTTGCTGAGGAGGCTGCATATAGCCCTGGGGTGGCAGGACTTGCTGAGTAGGTGTTGCATGGCTAGAGGTGGAATAGTTGGAAGCGGGGAGGGGCTGTCCTGTGGAAGCCATGATGAAGCTAGTCTGCTGAGGGTGCTGGGAGATAAGTGGGGGCTGGAACAGAGCTGCGGATGGGTCAGCTGCTTCAGTAGAACCTTGGCGGTTAAGGCTCATCTGTCCAAAGGGGTTGCTGAGGTCATCTGCCTGTTGAAAAAGTAGCGGAGACTCAAGGACTGAGGTGGCATCAAGCCCCATGTTCTCGGCTTCAACACAGACACACAGACAGAAATAGCAACCCTACCTACAGCCTTCCTTACCCACTCCAAATGTGAGACACTCCTGCCTCTGCGCCCGGGAGGCCAGCCTCCTTACCACATATGAGGCAACAATGGCCACTCTGATTATGATTTTTATTAGAATTTGTCCTGGGGAGATGGGAGCAATGACACAACTTCTATATATAGAAAAACAGGACAAACTAGTGGGTTAAAAAAAAAAACTATAACCCTTTCCATTTCCTGTCTTCCTCCTGCCTCCAACCACACAAAGTGTCCTATGTTGCCAAAAATCCTGTTTTTATAATAAAGGACCCAGATAACACCTTGAATGGATTATGGGTGGCCCGGGTCATGTGGCTCCCCAGCTCTGCCTATGCAGCGGAGAGACTGATGGACTCCCACTCCTGCTGCTTATCTCCTTACTCCCTCTCAAGGTCATTTCCACCTTTGTTCTCTGATACTTGCCTAGAGTTCTCCTGCCCTTCAGAAACCACTTCTAATTCTCACCTCTGAAAGGAGGCCAGGGTGAGTAGCTGAGCTGGAGGGTGAGACTGACTGGCTAGTCTGTAATTGCCTTCTTTCTCAGCCCTCTTCTCTAAGCAGCAAGAGTGATGGTGTTCCATCTCTCACTTGTACGGTGATAGGTTAGTTTGTTAGCTTCCTCGTCCTTTCTGCTCCCTGGACAGTAATTGACACACACACAAACACATACACACGCAGAGGAGTTCTTTTGCAAAAAGAACCAAAAACCAAAATAACTAGTAGGAACAAAAGGTAATGCTTTCCTGTGATTTCAATCAATTTTCAGGGATCTGATCTTCAAGTTAGCTGTTTAACTACTTTAATGGGCAGAAACAGATGACAAGAGCACTGGATTGCTGGTTATTTTGAGGTCCATATTCTAGGACTTTTCAGAATGGAAATAAGAGGTGGGAGACAAGAAGGGATTCTAGTGAAAAAGCAGACAGGTGTGATTAACATGAAATAAAAAGAAGCCAGTCCCTATATCATTAAAGAAGTTATCAACTATGAGGCAAATCAGATCTTCAAAGGATTTGTAGTCAAGGTACAAACTAAACCGCAAGTGTTATGCATTAGAAAAGGCTACTTTTTATGTAAAATAACACGGTAACAGAAGGGAACATTTTAAGTTTTTACCAGTGGAACCAGAGAAGTCTGCAATTGTGTTTTTATTTTTAAAGGAAAAAATGAGGAGCCCAGGTTAGATCAACGTCTGGTTGCGTTTCCCTTCTTATAACTCACGGGAATTCAGTGTTCCTCTCTCTTACATTTAAGCATCGTTTGATGGCTAAATTACTGTGATGTGGTCACTAGAGTGGAGTATACTTCAGCCTATACTGGCCCCACAAGAAGAAACACCTTTAAACATGGCCCTCCAAAAAGCACAACTGCTTTGCAAGGTTGTCACAGACATACCCAGAGATATAGGCCACACAAGGACAAGACAAAAAGGGGTAATGAAATTTATACCATGTTGTACTGCTGGGGTGGAGAGACTGGCAGAAGGACTTGGGGACAGGAGCCTGGAGAGAACTGAACAGGCTGCGGAGAGGGCTGCAGAGCTGGGACAGGCTGTGGACCAGCAGAGAGGCATGTGGAAAAGGGAAGAGAAAAGGGAGGCACAGGGAAAGGCAGCAGGGCAGAGATGGGAAGGAAAAGGGAAGGAACAATGTTAATCATAAAAGAAATTTCACATGAATAGCATGGCTGCTGAGCAGTATGAATACCAAGCCCAGGATAGCAATCTCTCCTATCAGGACAGACTCGCTGCATACCCCATCCCATTAGCAACTCAGAACTTTGCAGCTGTTGTGACCAATTTTAGAACTCTCAGAGCTGGGGTCTGCTGTCTGATTCCAAACATAGCTTTTCCCAAAACATTTTTTTCTGAACATATGATTCCTGGGGAACATAATTATAAACCCTCCTCAAATGTCCATTTGAAAAGAGATCCCTTGGCCTGGCCAGCGTGACTCAGTACTTAAGTATTGACCTATGAACCAGGAGGTCATGGTTCGATTCTGGTCAGGACACATGCCTGGATTATGGGCTCGATCCCCAGTAGGGAGTGTGCAGAAGGCAGCGCATCCATGATTCTCTCTCATCATTAATGTTTCTATCTCTTTCTCCTTCTCCCTTCCTCTCTCTGAAATCAATAAAAAAAATTAAGAAAAGAAATAAAACAAAATGGATTCCTGTTTCTGTAGGAAGCGTCATCTAAGGTCTGGCTGAGCTCTCCGGGTCACACTCCTAATTTCACAGCACAGCTCTCCTGGGGGAAGTGCTCATTCACAAGGATCATCTCCCTCCAGAGGGCAGAGAAGGAGAAACAGTCAGTTCACGCCTGGTTCTGGCTACTTCCTCCTGCTCTAAGATTGTTCTGTGAAACTCCAGGCTGTGACGGCAGTATGAAAAATGTCCCCATAAGCAAACAGGGAGGGATTTAGGAATAAAATATAAATAGCCTTAGTTTTAACTTTTGTTCCTTCAGTCCCTTCATTAGCCTTAAGCAGGAGGATTTGGTGTATTCTAAACCAACTAATAAGAAGTTATTTTTTCTCTCTTCTTCCTTTCCAGCCATTTCAATCCCTCATCAGTGGCCATGGCCCCTGGTGGTGGTAGGAGGGGTGGGAGAAAGGGGAGAGGCTAGGAAGAGAGAGGGAAATAACTTTTACATTCATTGTCTCATTTATATATTTTATCTCATTACAGCTTCACAATAAGCTTATAAGGAGATATGATAACTTGTACCTGCAGTTAAGATAGTAAGGTTCAGAGAAAGTAAATCACACATCCAGGATCACACAGCTAATCTGCAGAGCTTGGATGGGAACCTAGTTCTACCTGACATATATCCTTCCGCTCCACTCTAGTAGTAGGGAGGGTGGGAAAGAAGCTGAACAGAATTACACAAACATCTTTTAGTTTGTATAATTCTCCTTCCTCCTTTCAAATTTAGAGTAACAAGAGGTGTGGGGGAACCAAGGTATCAATATCCTCTCCTGCCACTTACCTCTGGAGAGACCCTTTCATAGAGGGAACTAACTTTCAGAAGCAGAGTCCAGGAATTAGAAGACCCCACGATGGAGAACACTCCTGACATGTGGATTAAGTAAATGTAAGTCATCTTGGTTAGGAAAAAGTTACAGAGACTTCACTGTGTGACCTGGGGGAGATGCTGCCATAGCCTTGAAAATAAACTCTCAGCTCTCCCAGCATACTTATTTTCTGTAAGCCAGTGGCATTCCAAATATAACTGCTGGCCAAACTTCTCAGCATGAGCTATCTGTGCTGGTAGCTTTTAAACCCATTTTCTATTATCCTAATCCTCTTCTTTCTCTTAAAGGAAGGCCTAATGTGCTTTACCCGTGGTCGGCAAACCGTGGCTCGAGAGCCGCGGTTTGCCAAGCCACATAGAAATGCTCCTCTCTTAGGACTCTTCTGAGAAGGGCAGTGGTAAAGGTAGTCATCTCAGTGCTATTTAAAAAAATATATTTTTATTGATTTCAGAGAGGAAGGGAAGAGGGAGAGAGAGATAGAAACATCAATGATGGCAGAGAATCATTGATCAGTTGCCTCCTGCACGCCCCACACTGGGGATCCAGCCTGCAACCCACAGGCATGTGCCCTGACCGGAATCGAACCGTGACCTTCTGCTTTATAGGTCTATGCTCAACTACTGAGTCATGCTAGCTGGGCTTTGCTATTTTTAAGTTATACCACCACTACCTCAGCTACAGTTTTCTTCTTAGAGAGTCTCACACTCCGGAGTTAGGAAACTTCCTAAAAACCACGAGGAAGCCAAAGACTGGCCCTGAGGGATGTGACAGTCACCTACCGGCAAATTCTAGACTAAAGCATTGGTTCTTGGATGCCTGAATGGGCCCCTGGAGAGAGGTTTGGCGGGCTCCTTTTTAAGAGGCCCATTCCACTTTAAGTAAATTGGGCAGAAGGTAGCCTCTGGCCCTTTAATTCTCAGCCTCACTCCTTGATTTCACATGCACTACTGATATATGATATGGAGGCCTGCTCTGACAGCAGAGGCCTGCCAAGAAGGGACAGAGCACAGTTTAGCCAGCGGTGTCTCCAAGCCTGGGACAAATGTCTCTTGCTACAGAGCTAAAGGTAACTATATTTTCTCAGTCTCTTCCAAAGGAAACTCTTTAGAATAAGCACAGTGCTATTTGTGTATGGTCACTTCCTTCATCCCTGCTCTGTTATGTACCTTTTGAGAAACTGAATAATAAGTATTTTGGGGCTCAGCAACTTGAGTTTGGAGAGCCACCAGTACTGAGAGACAGGGACAAACAGAAAAGAAAGAAAAAGGCAGTAAGAAGAAGAAGAAAAGGATAAAGAGAGGAGAAAAAGTGGAGAGGAAGAAAAAAGGAACTACCTACGAGGGTGGAGGTGTATAAAAATATTAGCAGCTACCACAAATGCTTCAGGGACACCAAAACTTAACCAGGCTAAGAATTTTTGGTTTGGAGTTTGTAATCACAATTAATCTCAGGAATATATTTCTGAGGGAGCAGAGATCTCTATACCAAATAATGCTCCCCGGTTCCCAATCTACAGGCCTAACTTAGCATCATACTCCCTGCAGGTCAGTCAATACCAACAGCTGACCCACTGACCCTCATGATGCAGAGGCAAAGACATAATCCACTGAGTAAAATTTGGGATTCAGAGCCAGTCACTTGGAAATTATTTAAAACTAGAAGCCCGGTGCACAAAAATTGGTGCACTGGCGGGGGTGGGGGTCCCTCAGCCCAACCTGTGCCCTCTCACAGTCTGGGACCCCTCGGGAGATAACCACCTGCTGGCTTAGGCCCATTTCCCTGGTGGCAGATGGCACGCTCAATCCCACGGTGTCTGCCCCGTCTCCCCTGGTCGCAGATGGCAGGCCCGGATCCCACGCTGGGTCAGGTGGCCACTCAGATCGTGCTGCCGCCTGCCCTGCCCACCCTGCCCCGCACATGGCAGGCCCGGATCCCACGCTGGGGCAGCCGGTGGCTCAGGATCGCGCTGCCGCCCGCCCCGCCCGGCCAGGATCTCACGCTGGGGTGGCTAGCAGCTGGGGATCGTGTTGCCGCCAGCCCCAGGTGGAGTGGCGCTGCAGGATCTGCCTGCAGTATGCAAATTAGCCGTCATCTTTGTTGGCGGTTAATTTGCATATCGTGCTGATTAACCAATGGGAGGTGTAGCGAAGGTATGGTCAATTACCATGTTTGTCTATTATTAGATTTTTTTCAGTCCAAAATGGTTATTCTCTTCACCTTTCTATTTCTGTTCTATTCTTGCTGTTGTTTCTAGCTATGGATAGAAGGAGGAGGCAGATGGAAAACTAAGAGGGGGAAAAAAGGGAGCAAGACTATATTATATTGTTTGTTTTATAAAACAAACAAACAAAACCCCCCAAAAACTGGGCTCCTAGAAAAGTGAAACATACATACACAGAAGATAGCCAGAGAGAGGAGCACAGAATTTAAGAGGAGCACTTATAGGTCTGAGTTAAGACACAGAGCCCAGCCTGCGTGGCTCAGTGGTTGAGCATCGACTTATAAACCAGGAGGGTCATGGCTCAATTCCCAGTCAGGGAATATGCCTGGGTTGAGGGCTTGATCCCCAATGTGGGGCATGCAGGAGGCAGCTGATCAATGATTCTCTCTCATCACTGATATTTTTCTCTCTCTCCCTTCCTCTCTGAAATCAATTATATATATATGAGATTTAATGAGGTACATGGTGTTAGAAGAAAGTAAGTCAGGATTATAGAGAAACTGATTTAGGGACTAATATGAAGGACTAGAATGATCTGCATGTGGGTTACATTAAAACACAAAGCAGGGTTTCCTAGATCTTCACTGTTCTTATGAAGTTTCATTTCACAGTATTTGAATGGGGTAGTACTGGGCCATTCTGGGGTCTTTCCACTCTAGTTTCCTGGGGTATGAGTGCTTGGAATTTGTTTCTTGTACCTATGGAAGAGATATATTTTAGGTCAAGTGGGACTAACTAAACAGGGAGACAAGGGAGCCTGTAAAAAGAATTTTAATTGCAGCCTAACAGAGTTCAGACATGGGATTCCTGACACTTTTAAACCTAGAATACCGAGATTCCATTTAGAATAAGTTTTAACTTTTATGCTGATGGCTTGGATGGTCCCCATAGAAGTAAAACTTCACTCACACCCTAGTTGGTACCAATATCTACCCATCCAGCAACAGGAGGAGGAAGAGGAGCTCTTTTATGGCATGGAAAACAGAAAATATTGGGGGGGGGGGTTGTGCTTTATGATATAGGTATTGCAGGGGTCTTGAGTGTTATTTCCTTTCCCCCTAACACCAACACATAAATATATGTTTATGGGTCAATAGTCACATGAGTACATTCAGTCAGACTATGGTGGGAGCTATGGTCCTTTTAAACTTCATATATAAATATAGTGAGCAAAATGACCTTGTTAATTATACGGGATATACTGAGAGATGGGGTATAGCAGAAATGTGGAATGGGGTAAGAAATCCCACTGACAATTTTCAGGAGGAAGAGGAAGAAATTTGTAAAGCAAAAATCTCCCAGACTGACACTACGAAGAGGACTTTGGCCAAAACTTCATCCTTACTCTTCTCTTCCGAAAACTAACAAATGAGAAATGGGGGAGAGAGTGGCATGTCTCCAAAAACAGATCTTTGCTACCACCCACAGCACAAGAGACATGACTGTCCTTCCAGAGCTTGCTTGAATCTGAGCAAAGGGGGATCTGGCACTGAGCAGTGACTCACCTGTGAGATCATGTGATTATTCAAGGGTGGCTGTTGCTGAGACGTGGGTGGAAGAGCAGGAAGTTGCTGCTGCTGCTGCTGCTGTTGCTGGGCAGTACAAGGGAGAAGGCTCCGGACAGACTGGGATGAGGTGACCTGGTTGCACACTTCTGGGGCACCTAGAGCCATACCTAAGGCAAAGAGGAGACCCACCAAGAGCTGTAAGTGCAAGTCATGAACATACCACCCCGGGAGGGCCCAGCTGCAGGGCCCTACTCTTTCTTTGCTGTTTCTCCTCACTCTCCTGTCCATTTCCCCAACTGTCTTGGGAAGATACACATATTAGCACGGATGCATTTCAGCTGTCCTGATGATGGGAGTCCTCATCTTAACACGTTTCTGTTCCCTAGGGGCAGTAACCACCTTGACTGTCAATGTTTGGTTTTAGAATTGAACAAAATGTGAGGCTAAGTCACCTCCCGCAAAGTGCCTAGAATCTGTCCATCATGATTAGATATTTGAAAACATAAATGTTTATTTCCTGGGAAGGTACAGATTCCTAGTCCTTTAAGAGACTTGTTTTCTCTTTGATTTCTTCTCAACTTTCAGCATCTCACAAAAGTTGCTGAGAAGGCAGCCTTGCCTCTCCAAGCACATGCCTGTGTACACAAATACTCACAACCTTCATCTATTTTCCCCATTTCCAGGCTCTCCAAGTCATGCATGCATTCACACAAAATACTTTTAATGAATATCTACTATGTGTCAGGCATTGTATAATGAACTGAGTACACAAAAACAAAGAGAACACAGTCTTTGCCCTTAAGCAGCACAGGATCTCCTGACAAAAGATGAACACCCACACAATGATTATAATCTCATAAGGATAAGGATTGCATCACTGATACAAACATAATTGTACGAAAGCAAAGATGAGGAAGCAATAACTCCTGGGAGGGTTAAAGGGAAGAGTTTAAAGAGGAAGTGGCAGGAGAGATAGTTTTGAAGGATGAATAGAAGGTTTATAAGACTGAGAGGAGACAAAGCTAATGTCATATTCAAGAAATTGTTGGAGGGTCAGAGAAAGATAGATATCTTGAAATGAGATTGAGATGGCAAACTAGAGCCAGGAAGTTATGCTATAATAAGTAATTTAGATTTCACTATGCAGGGAATGGAAAAACATGAATGTTTTTAAGAGCGGAGTGATTTGATTAGATCTATGTTACAGATTGGTAAATTGCCTATAAAAAGGGCTGAGGATGGAAAACCAACTGGAGGGCTAGTGTCATAATTAAATAAGAGAAGATAAAGGCCTGTATAAAGGCAGAGGCAGTGGAACTAGAAAGGAGGTATCAGAGAAGGGCAGCAGAGACCCAAGAGTCAGAGGCAAAAATCTATACCACTACTGACATCTTCTGAGGATAAGACCTACAGAACTTCTGGGATGAGAATCAGGTGATTCTTCATAGGCAGGAGGATGGTGGAAGAGTTCCACTGGGCATAAAGAGCTAAATATTCCTCTGCTAAGAGTGCAACAGGAATAGATGGAGAAGGATTCACCGCAGATGAGAAGAGCTAAAGCGTGGCTACAGGGCTGGCAGGTGGAACTCATGCTCCTTTTCTCAGTGACAAGCTCCAGGGAAGCAGCCACAGAAGTACCTCTCTAAGTCCTAGCCTACTGGCTGCCACCAATGAATTATAAATAGCTAAATTCTCTGCTCTACAGACCCTCCTTATAATCTCAGAGGCCACAGAATGAAAGCAGCTACCTTCTCATCTCAGTATGTGACCTGAACCTGGGCTTATAGGGATGTCCCACCTCAGTCAGAAATCAGATCAAATAATCCAATCCAGTCAGTTTTTTTCAATTAGAAAAGGTCTGAAAGAAAATCAGAGAAAGTACTCAAAAGGACAATGAATTAATTCAAGAAATCAAAGTTCCCCTCCTCTGGCTGTGTTAGGTTTCCAGGACACAATATTGGGACAAGTGTTTTATTAAAAGTAAGTATCAGGGCTGGGGAGAGGTCAATGGGGAAAAAAGGAGACATATATATTTTAAACAATAAAGAATTTAAATTAAAAAAAAAGTATCAGTGTGATTTTTTGCAAACGACAAGCAAAAAATTATAGCATGACACAGGTGAGAAGCTGTAGTACCTGGCCTGGAGATCCTTCCTGCACTGCCAGCTTTACTGTTCCCAATGCTGTCACCCCGGGTGAGGATAGAGATTCCGCTGAAACTGCTGGCTTTGGTGACAGGGGGTCGCATGCTTCGAACAGAGCCATCAGAGTCCGTGCTGCTCCAAGGCCGTGGCTCCAGGGATTTGAGTTCGCTGTCTGTGCTGCTCTGGCGGCTGCTCGAGGTGCGGCTTAGCCCCTCACGGTTCCCCCTGTAGAGACCACAGTGGTCAGAGCACCCTCCACCTACCACTTCTGCAGAAGGGCTAGGAGAGAGTTCATTTCTATTCTTTCAATAACGAAGAGGGGGTGAGGTTGTGGAGAGGATGGACACTGACTTCTTGTTAGTTGGCTGGCCCACCAAGAGTTGATGAGAGCAGACAGAACAATGCCCAGTATATTAACAAAGAGCGTGGGGGCACATCTGGAAGACAGCGCACTGGCAACTCAATACAACAGACCAGAGGTGGGTGGGAACCACACACATGATGCTGAGATTGGCTGTGGTCTCTTCCCCCAGCTCCCCACTGCGGGACCCCAGACATGCAGGAAATAGTGGGGAGCAGAGGGGTACCATCTCTTTTTGGGAGTTCTTAAAACAAAAGGACTCCTAGAAGTTATCAGTGCTAGAAAGCAGGAGTAGCCAATGACATGGATAGATCCCACAGCAGGTCTTCCACATAATGTGTCTAAGGCAGCAGAGGTGTTTCTTTCTTTTTTTTGTTAATCCTCACCCAAGTATATTTTTTCCACTGATTTTGAGAGAGAGTGGAAGGGAAGGAAAAAGACAGAGAAACATTGATGTGAGAGAGACACATGGATTGGTTGCCTGCTGCATATGCCCAATGAGGGCCGGGGATTGAGCCTGCAACCAAGGTATATGCCCTTGGCCATTATTAAACCCAGGACCCTTCAGTTCGTGGGCTGATGCTTTGCCCACTGAGCCAAACTGGCTAGGGCATTTTAAAAAATATATTTTTTTAAAATTGATTTCAGAGAGGAAAGGAGAGGGAGAGGTAGAAACATCAATGATGAGAGAGAATCATTGATCACTGCCTCCTTCATGCCCCCCACTGGGGATCGAGCTTGAAATACGGGCATGTGCCCTGACCTGAAATCGAACCGTGACCTCCTGGTTCATAGGTGGATGTTCAACCACTGAGCCACGCCGGCTGGGCAGAGGTGTTTCTTATGACCACTGTTTCTGGAGTGGGAAGAGTATAGTGGACTAAAGGGGCACTCTGGAAAACTCAGTCTGATAGTCTGGAATTGACCTAACCTGTTTTGTGGAAGTTCTGTGTTAGCATCGGGGAACAATTGGTTCCAGGGTCTCTAAGGACTGAAGTCTTTGGCATGATCAAGCAAATATGCTCTTGGGACCCAGGACGGTAAACAGCAGAGGATGGACTGTGCCTAGTTGCCTCTATGTAAATAACCCTGCTGCCCTAGGCAAGGTGCAAAGCTATGGAGAAAAGGGATTCATCCTCTCTTATTTTGCTCTAGAAATATCAGGGTTATCCTGATGATATATGCTTGTGTCTATGAAGTGCTATACTCAAGATAGATAGGGTTGGATTGAAAGACCTAAGTGTTGTTGAGTTCTTACCACTTCTTAATCAATAAGCAACCAAGAACGAGGGGTTTTCCTTTCACATCTCCTATTCCCAACAACTGATAATTTAAGGAAATCAAATGACAACAATTACAAAGATTTTGGTATGTATACTGGGGAGCAATTGAGCAAAACTCATAGTAGCTTCAGCTCCATCCTTTTCACCATCATTCTACCTAAGGTAAATAGAAAACCCCCTCCCAATCCCCTTAGTTTCAAAGACACCAGGCTCACAGTTATTCTATTATAGAAAGGTATTTTTCTTTCTCCATTAATTTTTAGAGAGAATGGAAGGGAGGGGGAGAAGCAGAGAAACATTGATGTGAGAGAAACACATCGATTGGTTGCCTCCCACATGTGCCACGACCAGGGCTGGGGGTTGAGCTTGCAACCAAGATACATGCCCTAACGGGAATCTAACCGGAGACCCTTCAGTCTGAGGGCCAATACATTAACCACTGAGGAAACCGGCTAGGATGAAAGGTATTTTTCTTAAGGGGGTAATATTAAAGACAATACCTTTCTTTATAGACTATGTGTTCCAAAGGAACTATAGAGAAAATGGGCAAAATATTTGCCTGAGTCACTAGTTTAGCTGTTTAGCTAAGCCAGTCATGGTGGGCTAATAACACACTGGCACAGCTGGTTAGGGACATACTAATTCTTCTCTGAATTCCAAGTAATTTATAAAGACCTCAAAACTACTCTCTATATCATTAGAATAGAGGGCTAGAAAATATTCCTGGTTCTCCAAAACTTTATCCCTTTTTCTTGGGGATGTCAAAGTAGAATGGGAAAGAAGAAAGACGTTTAAATCAGGGAATCTCCAGACCTCAAGTGAGAGCCAATAGCTCCATCTCAATGAACAAAGGCAAATCTACTGAGAGGACTCAATAAAGATGTGTGTGTTTTCTGGGGTAATGGGATACAGCAGTAGCAATGGATGAGGCTGCTTATTAGACATTAGAGCTTAAATTTGCAAAAATCTTAATGGCCTTTTATACCTAAATCAAACACAGTACTATCTATTAGAAAAATTCTGCCACTTACTTTTTCTACCAAAGGACAGTGAATGAGTCAACTTTAAACCAAACACCCTGGGAAGCTTGAGCTGAAGTGGCAGCACTTCTGTACTCATCCAGTTTCCTCCCCCAAGATAGTGATGGCCAAGTTCTCAAAATGTGGCTCATCTGATCATCTTCTGACTAACCTGAGAGTTCAATGACCTAAGTTGAGTCTTGGTCAGGAAAGAGATCAGTTTTCCTTCCCTACGACTACACCCAACATCTAGTCAAGTCTTTCCACTTTACTAAAAATAACAGTGAAGGAAAACTCCCAAACTCAATTGTGAGCATTGGATTGGATTGTGTGTTAGAGAGAAGGGTGAAGAACAGAGAAAATTCACACTTTATACTCCTGTAAAATCAGAGCTGACTTCGTTTTTATCAGTAGATTCCGTGCCATGAAAAGTCCAGTTTATTGTGTCTGGGAAGTGGGAAGAGAAGTTTGTGGAAGAGGTGGCAAAAATATCAGTAACCCTCACTGTGGCTTATTTATCAGTGCAATAGAATCTTTCAAAGGATTGGGAAGCTGCCATAGTTATTGTCAATTGTGGATGAGGAAATCTGGTATATCAGTATTTATTTCACAAACTTGGGAATAAAGGTATAAAGCAGTTAGAGAAGATCAGCTTCTAATCATTAGAGTTCTGAACTAGTACCCAAATAGAGAATGAAGTACCCCCTTAAGAGTTCATGGAGCTGCATTTAAATGACCTAGATTTTTAATCAAAATTCAGTATGGAAAGCAGCATCATAAAAGTGGTCTGGATAGGAGAAGGCTGCACCTGCTAACTAGATCCTTCAAGCTATTCTATATAATAAAAGGCTAATATGCAAATTGTCCCCTTGAGAGTTCGACCAGGAGTCCGCTATGAAGTGCGCTGACCACAAGGGGGTGGCGTGGAACATGGCAGGTGACCAGCAGCAGCAGCAGGGTGCTGAGGGAGCGAGGGAAGGAAAAGGCGGGGAACCTGATCAGCCCCGATTGCTGGCCAGGCCTAGGGACCCTACGGGCCGCTAGTTATCTGCATAGTTTGATATAGTTTGATGCTTCACAGCACTAATAAGGGCATCATTCTTGGCAGTAAGTCTGAATTAGGGCTCTGAATGGAACAATACTCAGATAGGAAGGAGTGATGCTTGTAGAGAGCTGGTGTGGTATGATAAAAAGTACACTGGACAAAGAGTCAGTTCCAGTTTTGCCACTAGTAGCCATGAAAACATGGGTTGGTCACTTAAATGTTTCTGCTTTTGTTTTCTTTCATGTAAACCAGTTTATCAAATCAGGACAGTGAGAGAGCTGAATCAGCTAGTGTACTTTAGCAACTATCAAGCACTGTGCACAAAGTCACACCTAGAAGTTAGTTTAAAACTCCTGTTTATTACAGGTATTCTGGCATGAATTCTGACTGAAGTGTACAATATGGAACAGGAACTTATTTATTTTTTAAAAAGGGGGACTCTATCTCCACCACCACAAATGCAGAGCCCTTTCTACCTGGGGCTTTCATATGGACATAAGGGTGGGACAGTCTACGAGAAAAAGTTCAAAGATATGGAAAGGAAGATAAATCCTTCATCCCAAGAATGGAAAATCTCTCTATCACAACCTTCAGATGGCTTAACTAACTTTAGAAAGGAAAACACGGAAGGGACAACTGAAGTACTGGGGATGAGAGCTCTAACTAATCTGAGTTAGTCAGGTCCTAGCAAGCTTAGGATTCAAAAAGACAGAAGCCCTTTGGAAAGGATTAGACCTGAATCCTGGTATTAAATATTGTGCTCTATAGTTTTTCTACAGCAAATGGGAAGAATATATTTAAAATGAGTTGGTGCCAGGATAGGGTCCTGAAGTAGCTCTTCTCTCATCACCACCTTTAGTAATCTTCTGGGGTGGAACAGAGAGACTGAAATAAAAGGGAGCTTCTCATGATTGCTTTGTGGAAAACGGAGAATATTAGATACTGGAGAAGTTAGTACGGTAGCTTTCGCCAACAATTAAGAGCAAGTCATGAACAATTATATAAAGGACATGCTCTAAAGACCTCCTAAGGCAGACAGTCCTTTCTGAGGTTCTTCTTGGGCCTCAGAAGTGGGTCACCTTACCCATTACACATTGTTCCAAAAAGAGAACTACAAAGACAGAGGTGTTTGTATGTATATGTGTTAGTACTATTCTTTCTTAAAGATACAAAACATTCCCTATGCTGGGTCAGGGATAAGCTCTTCATATCTTTTCACAGATTCAGAAAAGGTAGCTTAAAAGACATCCATTCTTTTACCTTAATATGTTGAACTCCAAAAATGCCCAATTCCAGCAAATTTCTGGGAAGAAACAGTACCTATCCCATATAACTATTTGGTCCCCTTCACCACCTATCCAGGACTTAAAATGAAATCAGCAAAAATAAAAATAAAGTCATTGAGCAAAAGCCATGTTTTTTTTAGTTTTTTTTAATGGGGACAAATATCCAATGTTGCAAAAACCACAAACTGAATTATTCCACAAGCAGCCATGCATGGAGCAAACTCACTCCGCTGAAAAGATTACAGCAAAACAAAATAAAGCAAAACAAAACAAACAAATAAAAACAAAAACAAGGAAAGATATAGATTACACAGAAGTACCTAAAAATCTGCCTTCTCTTGTGAGAGCTAGAAGAAAAGGCTTCTTTGGAGAGTCTGTTGGTTAACATCAAAGAAAAGCATCATTACAGGATTATATTAACCTCACTGGAAAGCTCAATGAGAAGCAGAGAACATGCTAAGTGGTACTAACCTGATGTCATTTAGATATCCGTTCTGGCCAGTCTAGGTGAGGGGGAGAAAACGGAAAATAACTTATAAGAAAACAGCATGGCATAACCGAAAAGGGTGTCCATGATGCTATGAATACCCAAGGTCCTCAAACCAAGCTCACCCCCCAACAGGGAGAGAGGGAGCAGGGACAGGATGACCCACACCCACGCACCCAATCTGACTTCTCACCTTTAATGGGAAAGAGCATTGAGCATTTTTAGCCTTCCCAGAGTGTTTAAAAAGAGAGGTTGATAAAGGTAGGAGTATGGAAAGGAGGAAGAGGAAAGTATTAACCTAACTATTATTTCCTTTTTAAGCTCTAAATTTATTCTCTCTAGAGGTAAAGTGAGCATAATAATTGGTGTGCTGTCCTAAAGAATGTGTTCAAAGAAAGGAAAAAGGGAGACAAGAGAAAGAAATTTCGTTTTTTGGAAATCATCCTCAATGATTATTCCATTTCTGTCCTCTACACTGGCCAAAATGAAAGACATTCTGACCTGAGACCCAATGAGAGTAAGAATTGGGGAAGCAGGTACTTTTTAGAGCCTAGAAAAATGAGAAAATTAAAAGCCTGATACATTCCTTTTGGGGATATTTCCTGAGAAAGCCACTGAGCTGAGTGAAGTAAGCTTTATAGTGGACTCCCAACCCTTAGAAAAAGGTACCAAGAGTATTGAGCAGAGTGGGCTCCACACAGAGCAGAGCCTATCTGGGGCAGTTTTCCCAATACACAGCTCAGGCTCCAGAGAAGGCTGCAGCATCAGCATTTCCATCCAAATACCCTTCGTGCCACTTCTCTTTTTTTTGGCCTGCCTTTTCCTCAACTCTACTCTTAATCATCTCCCTTTGACTGGCCAGGTTCCTCTCCACATGGGAATCTTTGGAATATGGTGGACTTTGGCCATTTTTCTTTGTCTACACCTTCTGAGATTCCTGATGCCTCTACCTACAGGAAGATGTAGGAAGTGCTGAAATGAAAGTGATAAATCTGCAAGGTAGGTAGACATATTCTAGTGTTGTTCATATGGAACATGTAGGTAGACATATTCCAGTGTTGTTCATAATTAGCCCTAATACCCTATTAAAAGTTGCTTGTACTTTCAGAAAGCTGTGGCATTGCTAATATACTGGCATGGTGGGACAGTCATTTTCCATGTGTCAGTGAAGCAGAGGTACACATCACAGTTTGCTATGCTATGATGTCACTGGTACTTCTTAATCTAAAGAGCTCAGAGCAGAGCAAACTACTGAGAGGTAGTTTACTTTAGGGGTTAAGAGTATGGACTCGAGCGGGGCCATCTGAATTAAAACACCAGCTTTTACTAAGTAGTGGTGTGATCTTAGGTTACTTAACCTCTCTCTGCCTCAGTCCCACATTTATAAAATGAGGAAAATAATATAACCTAGTATGAGGATTAAATAATTTATGCAGAGTGCTAAGAGAGTGTCTGAAAGATAGTAAACACTATATAAATGTTTGCTATTATCATTCACCAACCTGCTCTGTCACAATTTAGGGTCACCACCAGCCACAGCCATGTACAAATGATCTCTTTTCATTCCACCCAATTGGTTTGCAGGTAAAGGTTACAGCATCCTCTTTGAGGATTACCCAATTATCCTAATTGGTAAGAAGGTAAGAAGATTCCTTCTTTTTGGACCTTGGGCCAGAAGGTTTGTCCTATATCTGTCCCCAGTAAAGAGGATCCTTCGAACACGTGGGTCTCCTGAGACAATGGAACAAGTTCATAGAGGAGTTCAGTTTTCTTGACGTTGGAGACAATATTTTTCTGAGCTATGTGATGATGGAAAGATGTGTGTGTGTGTGTGTATGTGTGTGTGTGTGTATTCTTCTTGGCGGAGGGGAGAGTGGGGAAATGGGAGGAAAGTAGTGTCCATCTAAGTATATTGCTTATAACTGACTATGTTCTGACAATGAAGGGAGGCTGGTTTTCCTCTTTTGTTTGCTAATTTGAATGTAAGATGGTGCTGCTTTCTGGATCCTACATTTTCTGGAGATTTGTTCCCCTCTTGCCTATCTATGGCCTTTCCTGAATTTCTGCTATATTTCTCTTCAGTCTGGTAGGCAAAAGTCACCAGATACAGGAATATCAAGTATATTTGATTTGGCTCACAACTCTTAAGAATAAAGTTGCCTACAATGACTCATTCTGGCTTTTGGCCCAAATAGCCAGTCCTATTCTAAGAAGCAAGTTAAGAAATATAGGAAGAAAGAAACTTTCTGTTCAGGTAGAGACTGGAGGGACTAGTGAGTGGTACCTTCTGTGAATATGGAATGTGGAGCTCAGAGAATAGATGCCAGATCTGTGCTCTAACAATCACCAACATATCCTAAAAATGAGGCTGGCCAAACAAGATAAAATGTATAGGCTGTGTGGACACTAAGTCTTCCACTTAGAAGCAAAGATGCCTAAAATGGATAGTGGAAGTGAGAGAGGGTAAGTGGGAGGAGGGTTTGACAGGCAAGATTCAGAGCCCTTCCATAAGCCCTGACAAAACCATTTCTATTTTCAGTCTAATCATATCCACCAAATTCAGCCACTCCATTTGTTCTCTTTGTATGCCATACAGCAGAATGTATTAAAAAATAATATAAATAAAACTCTGCAGCTTCTTAACAAGCCACATTTAATTTTAGAGATCAAATCTGGGGCTGGCTGATTTTGGTTAAAAAACAACAACAACAACAACACATTTATGGAGGGTTCATTCTATTCACAGTTCCAAAGATTAAGAGCTAAAAGCTATGGGCTGACATCTCTCAGAAGCTACACTTACCTCTCGGGCAAATATTCTCTCTCGGACCCTTTGATATTCCTCCTCTCTCTCTTTTAGTGACTTGCTCCTCCTTCCATCCTGCAATGGAACTCTGATCTAGATCGATGAGCAGAATTAAGCTAGTTAAGTTCTCCTCGTACTGCAAGCTCACTGCACACCAGCAAGGAAGAGAAACCGGGAGAGTTTATAGTTGCCATCAAAAAAAAAAGAAAAGAAAAAAAAAAGGGGAAAAAAAAGCACTAAAATTTCCACTGGGTACATCTGACCATGCAGTTTGGGAGATCAGGTTTTCTGGATGGTTGGTGCCTCTCCATCTTCCCACCCCCACCCCCAGAGTATCAAGAACAACAACTATTTATGAGGATTGGGTTGCTTCCTTATAGTATTCAGGTACTCTCCAATCAGTAAGGATCAAGAGAACAGCTGAGGGAATTAACAACATTGCTCTGAAGGGAAAGCAAGGGATAGGAGGAAGCTAGAGAGGGAGAAGAAACATGCATTTAGCAGAGCTGAATGTAGAAAAGAGTTTTACAGATCTAGCATCTGATATTATGCCTTCTTTAGTCACTAATGAATGCCATGTCCTGAAGATCCAAGTTGCACACAGCTCGGCAAAGGGCTTTGGAAACAAAATCCCAAAAGTAAAGCTAAACTCAATACTTAAGAATTTTTTTCTCATCTTAACTATAACTCCGGAGGGAGGGAGGGAGAAATTACAGAAATAGAGAAGAAAGAGAACAGAGCAGCACAATGAGGTAAAGAGAAAGAAAGGGTGAAGAGAACAGAAAGAAGGATGGACAGAGAAAGGAACAGACAAGATAAGGTGGGAGGAGAGGACAGAGAGCAATAGGAAGGGAAAAGAAGAAAATGGTGGATAGGGAACCTTATATCCTCTGAGAAATGTATTGAGGTGACTAGAGGAAGGCTGAGCAGATCACCACCTCGGCTGTCTACCACCCAACTCTCCAACACTGTCTTTTCCTCTCTTGGCCTGTGAGTTATGAGCACTACCTTGGGTAGGGTGTTATAGAGTGTCCTTTCCCATGCTGCTCCTGAAGGCGAGGAGCTCTGAGGGAGGTAACCCATCAAATGAATGTCATCAGGTTATAAGATTCTGACCTTCAATTCAGAGGCTTTAGAACTTTAGATGAAACAACCAAGAAGACTGCTGCTCTAGGTTGACTTTCCCCATCTTCACCAATCTCCAGAGATAGGCATACCTTCAGGAGTATCAACTTTTGACTAGATTTAGTTCTCACTAATCTTAACAACCTAAATTCTACTACATGTCTTTTTACAAATCCCATTCCAAGAAGACACAGGACTTTATGGCGCTATATTGTCTTCAGCCTCCAGTACTAGTAAACCAGTGGCAGAGTAGAAAGTACATAATTGGCTTTGAGGTCAGGCAGCATCTTAGCTCTGTCACCGCCGAGTAATGTCACTTCAGGCAAATAACATCTCTTAGCCTCAGTTTTCTTACATTTAAAGTGGGGCTAATAACCCCCATCTATACTGGGGTGTGGAGACTAAAAGATAATGTATATGTGTTAGGAACAGAATCTAGTTCAGGAAAAACACCCAATAGAATAGCAATTACAGTGTTTATTATTAGTATCACAGACAGAAAGTGCACAGAGCCTAACCTATTGTGAATCAAGCCTGAAGCTGAGAGATAAAATAGGCACAAATTCCACCCATGTGCCTTGAGGCCTGAATAATTCCTGATCCACAGAAAAAAGGTTTTAGGAAAATGGAGAGAAGGGCATCAGGATGGAAAGGCTCTTTCTTATTTTTTAAAATTTGTTTGTCTTTTTGTATATTTTATTGTTTCAATCAGACCCCGCATGTTTGTCCACAACAGATAATGGTACTTTTCTCAAAAAGACTCCCTCAAATACTCAAGTAACAAGCAGGAAAGTCCTGGTCTCAAGACGATACAATATAATACGGAAACTAATTTTGACTCTAGAGGTAAGATACTACTATAGTTATCATTAATTAGTGAGACTCAAATTGGCACTATCCAACCATGCTCTTCAAACCTTAATCCTGGTTCTCCACCTAACCTCCTTTGGAGGCCAAGCAGAAATAGGCTGATCTAAACTCTACATGTGGCTTGAAAACTAACCCCCAAATAATCACTTGCTATCTAAAGGGTGAGCTCAAAGTCAGAGGAGAAGCCAGGCCCATAAAGGAAAGGATGGGGCAGACTGTTCACTTCTCATTCCTATAGGAGTGGATCAAAAAGGGGATATTGTCTGAGGTTCCCAAAATCAAAAGCCAAATTAACTCACTCACCTTGGTGGAAGGACTTGGGAAAAGAATTTGCAGAAAAGGAACAGAAACACCTTTTAATGTGGGTAAATCAGATCACAAGTTTGCCAGTTCAAGGCTAGCCCTGAACTAGGATAAGAGTGGAAGTGGGATAAAGTAGCTTTGAGTGGTTCCCAAAGAAATCCCTAACTATTAAAGAAAAAAAGAATGAAGTCATCAACTGAATCAAGGCAGAAGTAGGGAGGGACTTGCTTTGTCCCTAAATGATGTGGAATTAGAAGTCAGTGGCAGAACAAGGGAGTTCCAGGCCAAATAAGAAAACCCAGCAAACCTCAGCACCATGTCTCTCTGGGCTAAAGGGTGGCATTCAGCACAAGTGTAGTCAACCCTCAAAATTAAGCCAAAGCCAACTCAGTATAGCTCAATACATTTTTCCATATTTCAAGTTTTCTCCATCCCACAAAAATTCTTCTGCCCTCCCAGTTTCTCTTACTGCACTCTCTCTCTACACCCACCCCTTTCCATTCTTTACCTGGTTATCATCTCGGTCCATACTGGCATCATCTCTCTTGAGAATGAATCTCTGTTGAAATTCTGTATTTTTCTCATCCTTTATATGTTCTGAGAACCTCTGTTCAGGGCTGCGATTGGGAGAAAAATGTGGAAGGAAGGAAGGAAAAAGCCCTTTTGTTAGGAAGCAGACCTCCTAGTACAGGTCTCTTAAATTCCACACTCCCATTCAGGGGATTTCTGGAGTCAGGCATTCAAAAAGTCACATAAGGTATAATGAAATCCTCAGGCTCTGTTCTTTATACATCTACAACTTGTCTTCCTCCAAAGTTGTATCTGTCCTATCAGCAAAGGTGAAGAGAGGCCAGGGGCCAGTCTTCACAAAACATCAGTGCCTCTAGAATCTATATCCAACACCTCACAGGAGTGAGGAAAGAGGAGGAATTGATGATATAGCCTCCCACCCCCACATCCACTTCCTTCCTCCGAAAGACATCTTGATCCTATAACCTTCCTCTTCAACCCCAGAGGCTATCCCAGGAAAGTCTTCCCAATCTGTGGTTTCCTCCCTTACATTCTTGTGTTACTGGTTTTGTTGATAATGACAGCTTTTCCAGTTTGATCAACATTGTGGTCCATCCCAAAATAGGCAGCTACCCGGTGTAATAGCATCCGGTGATATGAGGTCATCTGAGGGAACTTCTTGAACTGGTTACTGAAGGGAAAACCGGGGGGATAAATAACAGCCACTTGTAATTTTCCTTAAAAGTATCTAAAATGGGGAATTTCTTAGGAGAAACAGACATATTATAAGAAAGATATTTATTCAATGGGAACTAAAAAGGTTCTCTCAGCTTCTTTAGCAATAGTCTTTTATAGACCCACTACACACATTAAGACTACTCCTTAAGTCCTAGGTCTCATCTACCTGGATAGTCTACAAGGAAAAAAGGGAGAAATTTAAGAATAATAAAATATGGAACAAGGGCTAGCTGCTGAAAAAAAATATTTTTTTTCAACTAAAGTTTATGCAATAACTTAAACACCTCACTTGGTTCTCACACATATACTTTTTAATACATACTGATTACTACCCCCCCCCCAACTCCTTTTGGTTTCCAGTGAATAATTACATCAAAATTCACACTTTAAGGGAAAGATGAAAGAGGGAGAGCCTAAAATTGTACCCAAATTTCTTTTGGTGCCCCTCCCACCTCTAAATTTGTATTTCATTCAAATAACTTACTTGTTGTCATTAATAAATTCCAGAATCTCCTGTTCTAATTTTAGCAGCATCATTCTGTCCCTGTTTAGAAAAGATTAAAACAAAACAAAAGCAGCCTCCCATAGGTATTCAAAGCAAAGACTGAGAACACAACCTGCTCATTATAAAAGCTGAAGGGACAAAGAGATCCAAACCCCAATAGTGGACCAAAATGTAATGGCTACTGAACCTCACTGACTTTTCTTACGTTACTTTAAAAAAGGAAAATAATTAATAGAGTATGGAATCTCAGAGGGAAGGCCGGGGAGGGTAGGTGGGTGGGTGGGAGGTAATCAACCAAAGATCATGTATGCATATATGCATAACACATGGACACAGACAATAGGGCGCTGAAGGTTTGGGGGACGGGGAGTGGCCAGGGGCGGGCTGGAGAGGGTCAATAGGGGATAAAAAGGAACATATGTAATACTTTCAACAATAAAGAATTATAAAAGAAAGAAAAGAAAAACAACTGTGTATGCATTTTGCAGATCCTGCTAACCATGTACTTTGTTATCCTTATCAGAAACCTAATTCTGTTGGCAGTCATATTCATATAAACACATACTTTACACTTATTCACCTAATTATTATTCTACATCCTATATGATTTTTATAGCATTTTAAAACTATTATGGTTTAGCTTATATACAATTACTATTTTGTTTCTGTGCTTTTTAATTGTACTCCCAAGCCTTCATATTTCTTTGTCTCTGCATTCTTCTTCCACAGAATTTTTCTCAACTCTTCTGAAAGGAGAAACCTCAATATGAGGATATTCTGAAACCCTTACAGAAAGTAAAACTACATTGAAGAGAAATGGTGGCAGGGGGATGGGTATCCTGAGATTCTAATGGAAAAATTCTGAGAAGCTACCTGGAGCTTGGGTTTCCTTCTGGCTGCTGGCCCCTTTGCCCCATTCATCAAATCATGCTATTACCTTGGGTTCTTTTTCAGTGTGTTTACAAGAAATTCATGTAGGTCTATTCCAGTGGAGTCCGTATATTCTTGGCTGGAGTCTAAAACCACCGCAACAAAATAAATTTAAAATAAATGAAATTGCCTTGCATAACATCTAATCCCAAGCAGAAGCCTACAACCTGATCAGGAGGGATGAGAACAGGAAAGTAGAATCAAACGTTAGGGGTTTTAGCTTAAAAACCAGAATGACTTTGATTTGCCAGCCCCCCCAAATTCCTCATGACAATTATAGAAGGTAGAATATAAGTCATAGTTTTGCATCAGGATTATAGTGAAAAGCCACCTCACCATCAGTATTTACTGAATGCCCTCACCAAAACAAAGCTGTTTTTATTCTACTTAAGGAAAATAAGGTCCCGGTAAGGGCAATCAAGGCTGAATTTTGCATAATCTCAGCAAATATGCTCAAATGTTGATTATTTATATGATTTTTTTAAATAACATTTTAATTCCATGGTTGCTTTTTTCCTCTCAACTATCATTTTATGGGACCATGTCTTTTTGCTATCAGCCTAAGAGTTTAAAGCCAAAGAGAATTTAATAATAATATGCAAATCTGCACTGCTAAAAATAGTTACTTTAATCATCCCAAAATATGAAAGGTATCTGGAGGAGCTGCAACCAGCGATGATCCATGTCACTGTTTATTCCAAAGCAAAAATAAAATCAGAATTGACTACGTCTTCCTATGAGTAGCACCAATGTTAATGGAGCAGCTCTCTGTGGTATGACATGAGCCCCTAAGACAGGGTTGGATAAAGCAGCAAAGAAAGTAACTTTGTTAGGTACCTTCTCAAGCAACCATGAAGTCCATAGGACACAATGAACTGTTGGGCCAGTTAGGCCAGCAGATGCCAGACTTCAAGATGGAAGGAAAGGGCAATGAAGAGCCAGGCCCTAGGACAGATTAAGAAAGAGGGAAAGTTCTCACCTCTAGAGAGCATCTTCCTTGGCACCTTTTCTTTGTTTTTGTCCTTGTCTTCCTTTTCAGAAACATCCTTTGTGGACTTTTCTTCCTCTTTGTCAGAGGGGCAGCTGATGTGCAATTGAATTATATCCTTGGACAAAAGTAAAGAGAAATATAATCAAAGCAAAATGGATTTTAATTCTCCTGTAACCCCCTTAAATCTCAGAGAAGATAAATCTTGGGGTGGTAGCATTCTCTTATAGAAGAGGGTATTTTATTAATTAAATTGTTTTAGCTTTTGTTTTAAAAAAAGGATAAAGGCCAAACCTTTTCTACAATCACAGCCTTATATTATATAGGCAGCTCAAGTTACACTGGCAGTTCTTGGTACAAGAATTAGATGGAAATGGTTCTAACCACCAGAGGGAAAGGGTGTGGGTGGGAAAATAATATCCAGCCCTGGGATCGGCTTGTCTGCATCATCATGGGTGATCCAGGTGTGAAGATCTATACTTCATGATCTCACCCAGGCCATGCTTTACTATAATGGCTTGTATCGAAGCTTCTGATTTCCAAGCCTAATGTTGATGTGGTTGCTATACTAGTTTACAAAACAACTGCCAAACTCAAAAGCTACACTTACTCTTATAAAGGACCTACCTGGGTTTCTAGTGACCCATCAGCAAATGGGGCAGAAGACTCCTCACACACTGCCAGACTGCGTACCAACTTGAGCTTGGAATTAGACTGAGAAAAAACAAATAACATATATATTCCCTTGGCAGACATTCAGAAAGCTTTTGGCTGAAGGATGGACATCCCCTTTGGCTCTGTTGCTGCTTCTATTAAATAAGGTTTTTTAAAAAACAGATCCTACTTGCCAGTTCCTGATTCACTTGAAAGATAATTCTTCCCACCCCAAAAGAAAGATAATTCTCCTGCTTATAACAGTAGACATATAAAAACAAAAAGGCTACTTTAGACAGATAGGAAAACCACTTCACTTGGCCCTCCCATTTCCACCCCCTTCTCTCTCCAGCCCAGTGCTCCAATTTCAGACTCAGAAGTTTACTGAGAATACACAACAGCAGACCTTAGTAGAAAGACCCCAGATTTAAGAACCAGAAGCCCTAGCTTTAACTCCTGTTTTTTTGCTTATGGACTACAAGAACTTGAACTAATTACTTGACCTCTCTGGGTCTCTGTTTTTCAATAAAACTGTGATAAAAATACTTAAAGAGCTGTTGTGAGAATTAGATGACATAAAGTATGTAAACATACGTATCATAAATAGTGCCTAGTGTACAGTAGACAGTAAATGCTAAATGACTCTAAACCTTAGGTGGTAACGATGGAAAGAAGTGTCTAAGAAAAGAATAAGAAGAAAGATAGAAAAACCATTCTAACAATTGGGAATTAATGTGATAAAAAGTGAATCCATTTGGTTTATTTCTACTGGTGGGAGAATCCCAAAAAGGTCTGAAATCCATTTTGCAAATCACTGCTCTCCTAGGGATCTTCAAAGTCAAAAACTATAGAGCAGCGGTTCTCAACCTGTGGGTCGCAACCCCTTTGGGGGTCAAACGACCCTTTCACAGGGGTCGCCTAAGACCATCGGAAAACACATATATAATTACATATTGTTTTTGTGATTAATCACTATGCTTTAATTATGTTTAATTTGTAACAATTAAATTGGGGGTCACTATAACATGAGGAACTGTATTAAAGGGTTGCAGCATTAGGAAGGTTGAGAACCACTGCCATAGAGTGACTTATAAGAAATTTACCTATAAACATTTACTGAGTTCTTACAATACAATCGAGGTTTACCATGAATACAAAAGTACAAAACTTGGTATATGTATTCTATGTAGAGCAGTATAGTGAAAAATATTTGCAAGTCTGTCCTGGACCATGTGGCTAAGTTAGAGCGCCAGCCCAAGCACCGAAGTGTCACAGGTTTGATTCCTGATCAAGGGCACATACTTGGATTGCATGTTGGATACCCCTCCTGGTGGGGTCATCAATGGGAGGCAACTAATCAATGTGTCTCTTTCACATCAATGTCTCTCTCTCTCCTCCTTCTTTTTCACTCTCTCTTAAAAAAACAAACAACAAAAAAAAACTCAATGAAAAAATATCCTCGGGTGAGGATTAACAAAAACAAAACAAACAAATAAAAAACTTGTAAGTCTGAAGAACTGATTTCAAGCCTAGTTCTGCCACTTACTAATAAATGTCCTTTGTCAAACACACTCAGTCGCTATAAGCCCAAGTTTCCTCAACTGTAAAATGAAGATAATAACTATCTTACTTAACTCAAAAAGTTCAGGAAGGCCCTAGGTCAGTGGTCGGCAAACTCATTAGTCAACAGAGCCAAATATCAACAGTACAACGATTGAAATTTCTTTTGAGAGCCAAATTTTTTAAACTTAAACTATATAGGTAGGTACATTGTTATTAACTTAGTTAGGGTACTCCTAAGCTGGCCTTTGCTAAAAACATCCTCAATCTGATTGAGGTACGTTTGCTGAGGTCGACCCCTTCCAACTCTCCCATCCACACTCGTCTTGTATACTTTTTCGTCTATCTCCTTTCCGAAAACCGACTTCTGCGCATGGGCCACCAGGTTTCAATTGCGCGCTCACACGAGGTATTTTGTGGAAGAGCCACACTCAAGGGGCCAAAGAGCTGCATGTGGCTCACGAGCCGCAGTTTGCCGACCACTACCCTAGGTGGTTTGGCTCAGCGGATAGAGCAGCCTGCGGACTGAAGGGTCCCAGGTTCGATTTCAGTCAGGGGCACATGCTCGGGTTGCAGGGTCGATCCCAGGTGGGGGGCATGCAGGAGGCAGCCAAACGGTGGTTCTCTCTCATCATTGATGCTTCTATCTCTATCTATCTCCCTCTCCCTTCCTCTCTGAAATCAATAAATATATATTTTAAAAAAAGAAAGAAAAAAGTTCAGGAAGAAGTGACATTGCAGTGAACACCCTCTGATTGAACTTTAATGTCAAGAACATCACTGCGGATTAGGCCATATAAAGCAAGATGCAGATTTATCATACATAGTGGCCTTCTTTAAACCCAAGTAACAAAATGGCTGGGCCACTCTCAAATTCTGCCATTATTTTTCAGGGGGAAAAGGGTGGATACCCTTAATTATTACTTCTGGTGATAATTCTTCCCACTGCAAGAAAAGTTTAACATTTTACAGTTTTCCAACTAAAATTAATATGCTAGCACACACTAATAATATACAGTCCTTCCTGGTAACACTACTTAAAATAATCTGTGATGTGCTAATTTTATCATACAATGATTAAAAACTAAGTCTTCCTCCTTGTCCAACCTAAAAAGTAAAATATATATTTTAAAAAAGGGCTATATTTTTAGGATGTTCAAAATCTTGAATAATTTCTACCAATGGGGCATGATTAATCTAAAAAAAAATTCATAAAGAAAAAAATGTTGAGGGAAAAAAGTAGGAGTCATATAGCAGCTATTCTCAGAGAAGCCAGAGCTGAGTAGAGAAACTAGCATTACAGTAGAACTAGGACAAATTTGCTCAGGCTTTTGTGGGTATCCCACAGTTAACAGAAATACATGTGGCTGAACCAGAGATAATGGAGAAAAATATAGCCAAACCTTACAATAGGATATGTATGCATGCATGTCTCTCTGTGTGTACATGTGTATGTATATTCACAATTAGGCAGAAACCTTCACCTATGTATAATGCAAATAAATGAGATATTAGTGATAAGTTTATTTGTAAAATGCATTACTAATAACACCAGGAAAGAAATTATAGAGAAAAGGTGCTCACCTTGGCTCTTTTCCTGGCATGACCATGGTTGGATGTCCGCCTCTGTTAGAAGGGGATTAGAAAATATTAAAGATGGGGAAAATCAACACAAGTTAAAAGCAATACAAGTTTACAAAGAGAAAGCACTAACTGCAAAACTGTTGCATAGCCAAATTATGATGAGACCCACTTGGTGTGGTTATTCCCCTGTGCTATAACTCTAGCAACCATGACACAGAAGCCACTACAGGCCACTTACAGACAAATCACCATTCACCATGCAGACAAAAAGTAGGAAGATATTGACTGGTTGGCCTATTCCACAGATTGATAAAAATTACTTTTGGGTAAACCACAGAACACTCTTGTTTATGATACTCGTGGACATGAAATATGACTCCTAACCATCACTTATAATAATATCTTTATAGGACAATCCATTCAGAGTTCCAATCTGAAATATCCAAATCACCTATCCCTATTGCTGCTGAAATGGAATAAAGATCGTGTCAACCGTCTTCCTCCGACAATTGTCCCAGTTGTAAGCTCCTGGTGGTGGCTCTTATTATAGACTGCCTGGGTCAGGAATACAAGATGGGACAGGATAAAAAGTAGGGAGAATGGAAGATATGGATAAGACCTCCGGAGCAAAGGGAGGATAAGGAGAATGGGTAAGGAATAGGGTAGAAGATGAAGGATGAGGGCCTGAGTTTGGAGGAGGGAAGAAAAAACTAATTAATTGATGAAGTTTCTGAACAGCTGAAAAGTCAAAATTCGGCTTTTGGAAAGAGGGTGGGTAGGATTATGTACAGGATGAGGTACTTAGGGCTTCTGAGATGATTAGAATGGAACTCACTGGCACTGGAGTAGAAGAGAACTGAGGCAGGTGGGCTGGGGAGGGAAAACAAGACAGAGTCAGAGTACCAGCACACTCCTGGGTAGGTGAGGATTTCCTTTTCTTCGTTGTCTTCTCTAGTTACTGAACAAGACAACTCCAATGCAAAATAGAGAACCGGAAGAGTGAATGGAAAGAGTAAGAAATGACAATGATGGTGGATCTGGTCAGTGGCAAGATCTTACAGTAAGGGAAGAGTAAGAGTCCAGGAATATGAAATAGTATTTTGTCATTATTTTTTCAGATAGGTAATAACACAAACATTCAAGAGGTATTAATGGGGGCATCTGTCCTCCAGCTACCTGGTTCTCTCAATTAATACTGAATTTCTTATAATCTTTCCAGAGATCTTTTATGCAAATAAGCTTATCGTACATGTGTATGCACACAAGTTTATTTGTTTTTAAGCCAAATAGAAGTAGGTTGTACACATTTCTCTGAACCTTGCTTTTAAACTATTTTTTTTCATGGATATCGTTTTATAGAAGATCTACTGTCTTTATTAATGGCTACATGGTATTCCATTGTATGGCTGTTTTATAACTTATTTTACCAATCCCTTAAATTGCACCATTTTGGAAGTTTCTGAATGTTTGTTAGTATAAACAATGTTTCAATGACCATACACTGAGTATACCTAAAAATAAAGTATATTTTTATCCATTTAAAAATTTTATACAGTAAAGTATTACCAATTGCCTTTCAATGAGGTTTTATCAATTTATAACCCTACAGCAATGTATGTATAAATCTGCTTATTTTCCAGAATGGATAGTTTTCATTCAATAGTCAAATATATATTAAAAGCATAATATATCTACTAGACACCATGGTAACTACTAGAGGATACAGAGATAAAAGACACAAACCTTGTCAAAAAGGAACTCATAATCCTGTTGAAGAAGACAAATAGACAATTACAATATAGTACATTAAGTATATTACAGAGGTTCTTGTGGAGTGCTACAGGAACACACAGCATAAGTGTCAAAGTCAGACCTTAGCAATATTGAGTGCCTGTAAGGAATTGTGCTGGGCCTTAGAGATACAATGATAAGCCCAAACTGACCTAATCCTGGGCCTCAGAGCTTAGAGTTCTGTGGAGAAGATAGACATTAATTGAAGAATTATACAATTTAGATCTGCAATGGATGAGTAAGGTTGTCAAGGAAGGCTTCTGGGAGAAAGACACATTTGGATTGAGTTTGGAAGGATAAATGGATACTAGACAGATGTTGGCAGAGGGGATTTAGGGGCTGGAGGAGACCAGGGAAAGAATACAAAGGAAGGCATTCTAGGCAGAGAAAGCTTGTACAAAAGCATGCTTTCCCAAAACTTTTCAGTCTCTATTTATAATAAGGTCAAAGATTCCTATCACATAGGCTGAAGAATAGGACGCCAGAGGTGGATGACTGGCAGGTAAGGGACTAGGTCACAATATGTAAGGCAGACAAATCTGGGACTTAGCCTAGGGCAGTAAGATACACAGAAAGTTTGAGTAGAATTAACACAATCAGATCTTTATTTCACAACCATCTTTCTAAAGCAGTATGGTAAATGAATCAGAAGGAATTACAATTTTAAAGGCAGAAAGTCCAGCTAGGAGGCCATAACCAGTTGGTTAACTGAAGGACCCATCTAAGTTCAATATATGTTAAAAGTCAGAGCCTGCCCATTCTAAACTGAATCTCAGAACCTGCCTTTTATAGCACTGTTTCCATGCAAAAGATGTTCTGAGCTCCAATTGCTGATTCCAAGAATATGTTTCACACAGTATAAATAATCAAAGTCCCCTTCCCCCAAACTTTTCACTTCCAGTGCATAACAGGCGCTCCCTTGACAGCATCAGTAAGATTCTTGGGGAGACTTCTAGAGTGTGAGTCAGGGGGAAGGTAGGGAAAAGAATAGCACTTTTAGTGTTGTTGAAGGGGTACATGATCTTTTGGGAAATGGTAGAGGGGAGAGGGCTTCCAAAGGGTGGCCAAAAAGACTGGAGACTTTGTAGAAGGAGCAGGGGCTCCAGTAGATGGCAGCAGCAGCTCCACTGCTCTAAGGAGCTGCAAAGGAGTCAGAGGGGAAACAGGTTCCCTTCTCCCTGCCCAACTATTTGTATATCTATGTGAAGACATTTTTAAACCAAGTGAGTGTCCATAAGGCATATAAAACCTATAAACATCCTTTCTTTTCTACCTGTCTTAAAGAAATACATAAAATGGGAGTTCAGAACACAGCTTAAAATAATCTCCTGAGAACAGAGTAACTTGGACCCAAAAGTTCATTTAATTATCATCTTCCAAGTACCATGACAGTGCATAATTAAACATTCTTCATATCTTCCCTAGTGAATTAAAATTCATTATTGGTACCAGTGGAGGCTAGACGTATAGATGAAACAGTGGCAGACTGTCTCCACAAACTCTGGAAGGATAGGCAGGGAATGACAACTCACATGCAAGATAATGTAAGGAAAAGCAGCCAGGACAGAGATCTGACAAACTGTTAAGAGGAAAGACAGAAAAGCAGGCAGCTAGAGAACATAATATTTCAAAGAGCTGTCTGATTTTAATTCATCTCTTTATGTTGTTGCTGTTTTAATCTTTATTTATTTATTTATTTTTCAAAATATATTTTATTGATTTTTTTACAGAGAGAAAGGGAGAGAGACAGAGTTAGAAACATCGATGAGAGAGAAACATGGATCAGCTGCCTCCTGCACATCTCCCACTGGGGATGTGCCCGCAACCCAGGTACATGTCCTTGACCGGAATCGAATCCGGGACCCTTCAGTCCGCAGGCTGACGCTCTATCCACTGAGCCAAACCGGTTTCGGCCTGTTTTAATCTTTAAAGAAGACAAGGCCTAGGTGTATTGGGTTGTCAAGGGAAATTATGCTTTAAGTTTCCAGACTCTCCAAAATGTTGGTGCTACTGCTTTTTAAACTAATATACTAGAGTTAACAGTCTATTTCCTAAGCATATAATAAATACTAGTTTCACTGCTGGGCATGAAGGAAAGGTTATATGTAATTTGGGCTAGGATAACAGGGGAAACCAGCAGAGACCACGGAAGAAGAGAAGGACTCGAACAAGTAAGCTAGATGAGACTCAGAGTCTGGGATGCCTGGGTACAGAGGAGCCCTGAAGGAAGCTCAGCTGACCATCACCTATTGCTATCATGTCTGCACTGTCATATGAATCTGGATGAAGAACATTGCAACCAAAGAGTGAAATTCCTCCCACTTACATTTTCCCCACTTACATTTTCCAAGTAGCAAGTTCAGAGACTATTTCTGAACCAGAAAATGCTGACTGCTTTAACACAACCAGGATATGAATTTAACACTGTGTAAAACCAGGCAGCCCCAGTTTTAAGAATTTCTTGTATGAGCCATATTATGACTTGTTAAATATGTGTTTGTATACAGTTTATTTTTATTTTATTATTTTTTAAAATATATTTTATTGATTTTTTACAGAGAGGAAGGGAGAATGAGAGGGATAGAGAGTTAGAAACATCGATGAGAGAGAAACATTGATTCAGCTGCTTCCTGCACACTCCCAACTGGGGATGTACCCGCAACCAAGGTACATGCCCTTAACTGGAATCGAACCTGGGACCCTTCAGTCCTTCAGTCCACAGGCCGACGCTCTATCCACTGAGCCAAACCGGTCAGGGCTACAGTTTATTTTTTGATAGTTAAAAAATATCAAAATATAGCAAGAAGCAGTGTAACTCAGATCTACATGGGTTAGGGCTTTCACTCCTGTCTTCTTTTGACTTCTTTATGGAATCTATGGCAAAAAAGGAGGGAGATATTTCTTGAGAGCTGAAGTTGGGTTTTTAGGGAGAATCAAGTGTTCTTATAAGTGACTGGCTTCCTATAGATCCCCCATCGCCACCTATAAAGACCCTTCTGTTCAGTTATAAAGAGTGTGCATATATGCACTTCTAATCCTTACCTGTGTCTCCTGACGCAAACTGGTATCTTCACTCTCTTTGTCAATTTCTTCTTTACTTGGAGTCTTAGATATAAACTTGTTTTTGCTTACAGATTCTTCTACCAGTTTTTTTTCTGATTCTTTCATTATTTCCAGGGTCTCTTGAGTAGTGTTACTATTAGACATCTTCTTCAATAGAATACAGTAGACTCTATGGACTCCTAAAGAAACATCAAATGCATTAAATAAGAGGTGTGTATTTATACTTAACACATCACACAAGACTTGTATTGCACATACAAGTCTTCAGTGGCTTCCCTATAACCCAGAAAAAGGCCCTCTGACAAACACTATCTTTGGATCTGTTTATTTTCCTCTTTTGGTTGTTGTTTTGTTAATCCTCGCCTGAGTATATTTTTCCATTGATTTTTAGAGAGAATAGAAGGGAGAGGGAGAGACAGAGAGAAACATCGATGTGAAAGAGACACATCAATTGGTTACTTCCTGCAAACACCCTGACTAGGGCCAGGGAATCTGCAACCAAGGTACATGCCCTTGACTGGAATCGAACCCAGGACCCTTCAGTCCGCAGGCCGACACTCTATCTAATGAGCCAAACTGGCTAGGGCTGTTTATTTTCCTTTTTAAAAAAGCTTTATTGAGGTAAAACTTTATACAATAAACTGCATATAGTTAAAATGTACAGTTTAATGAGTTACAATGGTTTCACATGCATATATTTGTGAAACCATCACCACAACCAAAGTAATAAGCACATTTATCACCCCAAACTTTGCCCCTTCTCTTTGGTAAATCCCTCCTCCCTTCCCTGCCTTTCCCAGCCAACCACTGATCTGCTGGCACTACACATTCGTCTCCATTTTCTAGAATTTTAGTCATAATTATCTGAATTATTTTACTCAGCACAATTATTTTGAGAGTCACCAGGATTTGGTTCTAAAGTAATGTAGTATGAATCCTCTTGGCACCTATTTCCCTCCCTTGTTCCCTACAGCAATCTGCACACATTTTTAGCTTGAGCACTTCAAAGAGTTAACTCACTAGACTCTCCAGAAAGAAAAATCTATAATAATAAAAGCATAATATGCTAATTAGACCGGATGACCTTCCGGACGGAGGGAAGCCCAGGTCCTGGGTGCCTGCCGGCGGCCAGAGAGAAGCTGGTGCCAACAGCTGGGGGAAGGAAGGCCTACTCTTTTTAAAAAAATTTAATTTACTTGTTTAAACAGTAGTATATATGTCTCCTTTTTTTCCCCATTGACCTTCCTCCAGCCTCCACTACTCCCCAGCACAGGCCCCCCCCCACACACACACACAGTGTCTTGTGTCCATTGGAGGAAGGCCTACACTTGTATGAATTTCGTGCATAGGGCCTCTAGTATATTATAAAGCTCCATTCACTAACAGAGAGGACTGATCTCCTTTCCTAAGGGAGAAATTCCACAGCTATCACAAACCACAACATTGTTATCAACTTCAAGCCTCTCCCCCATCAAAAAGCAGCAAAATAAAAAAAATGGTTATAGAATCTTAATTTTTTCCTTTACCTTAAGCAAGCTGAAAAAGCAAAAAGAGTACTCCAGTTATATGTCCTTCAGAAAGACTGGGTCTCTCCCTGGAGGAAGGGAGAATCTTTTCTTTGCTATTCACTATTTTTATTCAGTCATTCTACTGCATTCCACGGATACAGAGTATCTGTAGTGCAGGGGTGGCCGGCTCTTTATCACTTACTATTGCTACCTGGGAAGTCCTGTAATGAAGTCAACACAGTTTTCCAAGTATACATTTAAAAATATATTTTATTGATTTTTTATAGAGAGGAAGGAAAAGGGATAGAGAGTTAGACATCGATGAGAGAGAAACATCGATCAGCTGTCTCCTGCACACTCCCTACTGGGGATGTGCCTGCAACCAAGGTACATGCCCTTGACCGGAATTGAACCTGGGACCCTTGAATCCGCAGGCCAACGCTCTATCCACTGAGCCAAACCGGCTAGGGCCCAAGTATACATTTAGAAACAGAAGTGAATGCTCTACACAGATTCATGTCCACAATTACTGAAGTCAAACACGCTTAGCTCTAACAATGGTTTGCAGAGGTTTCTCCTTACATGGTTAATGACTGTATTTTAATCCTGAATACTTTCCCTCCTTTAAAAATAGACTGAAAACTCTCCCAAATGTCATGTCTATTCCATGTAGCGCTAGAAATGAGCTAAACAAACAATCAGCAATGCTTTAAAAAAACCTTTCACACTAGACATATTTTCATTTTTCAAATCAGTTTAACGGCTAAGACCCAAAGACTAAGACTCTTAAGAAGCACAGGTAAGTTCATCCTGGCATAAGATAGTCTGCAAGATCATCGCTTTGTTTACCTTGTGGCGGCTCTTGAGCAGCTGTCTAGAAACTTAGTTTGCATAGTGCTAGATATATTCCCTTTAAAAGGCCAGAAAGTCATTCATACAATCACAGTCATACATCTGAATTTAAAGATGAGAAGTGTGGGAAGAAACTGACTATAAAAGAAAATGGCCGATGTTCTATTTTTTAGTTAATTGATTCAGTACCTAGAGACTTCTATAAAAAGAGTTATAACCTACAGAGCTTTATGGATCATTGGTTGTACATAAGAACTGCATATACACATATATTTATCCACCTCCCCTCTCCATGAGTAAATCAAGCCTCCATTCTCTTCAGTTTGAAATATAGTAAAACTTGGTGCATGCCCTCTCCGTATCCCTTAGCTCGAAAACATTAATAATGATCAGAATCAGAAAAGTTCTTATATATCACCTCATGTAATCTCCCCGCATGCCCCCAAAGAAGAGCTCCTGGAAAACTCCTGGGACAGATAATTTCACTAATTCTTAAACAGTTTTAACTGTTATATACTGTAGTTGCACCCTACCACAGGCTACAAACTGCTTCAATCTTTATTCTAAATCTGCCTTAGGATCACACAAAATTAAGTTTACTTCTTTTTTACATGATACCAGGGGTGGGCAAACTTTTTGACTTGAGGGCCACAATGGGTTCTTAAACTGGACCGGAGGGCCGGAACAAAAGCATGGATGGAGTGTTTGTGTGAACTAATATAAATTCAAAGTAAACATCATTACATAAAAGGATACGGTCTTTTTTTTCAATAGTTTTATTCATTTCAAATGGGCCGGATCCGGCCTGCGGGCCGTAGTTTGCCCACGGCTGTGATAGACCAACATTTTTCTTTTTTAGGCTTAAATAGCCTCACACAGATTTCTCTGTCAGAAAGAGAAGTTGAGGGGTGGGGAGGTGGTGGAATTGGATGAAAGTGGTCAGAAGGTACAAACTTCCAGTTATAGGATAAAGAAATACTAGGTATTTAATGTACAGCATAATGACTATAGTTAACATTGTGTATGGTATATTTGAAAAGACTTAAGAGTCTAAGTAGATCTTAATAAAGTTTTCACTATAAGGAGAAAAACATTTTTTGGTAACTATATGAGGAGATGGATGTTAACTAAATGTATTGTGTGGTAATCATTTCACAATATATAAATGTCAAGTCATTATGCGGTACACCTTAAACTTACACAGAGCTGTATGTCAATTAAATCGCAATAAAACTGGAGAGGGGGGTATAATATGGAAAAATACAAAGCAGCTGGTTGTTTCTTTTTCCAGGATGGTCCTCAATTATCAAATAGGTATATTTCTGCAAATCAGTGACAACTTTGCCACTCCTGTTCACATGTGGGTCAGAAAAGGCTCAACTATCTGACTAACTTCACAATGTCCCAGCACTGTTGCTCAGCCAAAGCACTAAGGAAAAAAACCCAATCAAACAAAAAATGATTTTTCTTAACAGTCATATTGGAATAGGGTCACATATTCTAACTCAAATTTTAAGAAGCCACATGGTTTCCAGGTTTCCTTCATTCATTGAGAAACAGAAAAACGTGCACTTTAGATATTTTAAGACATCCATAAAACAGACAGTGATTAATGAGTCTATTTTTAATAATTTTGAGAGTCCTCTCAACTGAGGTCACTGGCCTCTTGAAGAGCTGTGTAAAACAAAGTAATTCGTACTCTGAGGAAAAATAAAGCAGCAAAGGAAAAGGTACAGTAGCACTTTATACTGGCTGACTACTTAAATCTCCCCTTTCTTCTACACTCAATCTATCCCAGACTTTCTTCTGGTGTCTGCCTTCCTCTAAGGACACATGATCAGGGAAGGTGATCACATTCCTGAGACCTAGGAGGAAGATTTTAATTAGTTGGACCAATTGTGGTAATTCCTTTTCCTTTTTCCTGTTTTGGGAAGGGATAAATGACTCATCAACACTAAGACATGAGAGGATTTTGTTGGGTGGGTGCCTTCAAAGAACAGCTTCCTACTGTATTATTATTATTATTATTTTTTTAAAAAGGTCACTATAAAAAAAAGGTAGTTATCTTCTGCTGAAGGTTGTCTTATATGCAGATGATGCCTGGACTGTGGCAACATCTTACCAACACATGGAAGATGGTAGAGCAGAGAGAATAAGTCTGGATCCTTGATGCTGTGGTGCAGAACAGACATTGAATTAGTCAATCTGGACCCCGCCTACCTGCCCAGCTCTGTACTTCTTGATGTGTGAGGTCACAAATCCTCTTATCATTTAAGCTATTTTGAGTTGAGTTTACTGTTCCTTCTAGCTAAAAGCACCTGAGATAGTCAGAAAGGGTATGTTAAGCCCTGGCTGGTGTGGCTTGATTGATTGGAATGTCCTCCTGTACACTGAAAAGGTTTTGGGTCCAATTCCCACTCAGGGCACATATCTAAGTTGTGGGTTTGATCCCCAGTTGGGGTGCATATGAGAGGTAACCAATTGATACTTTTCTGTCGTATCAATGTTTCTCTCTCTAAAAAAATGAATAAACATCTCCAGGTGAGGATTAAAAAAAGAGGGAGGAGGGAGTATCTGGACCAGACAGAGAAACCTAGCTCCACACACAGAAATGACTGACAGGGACAGAGATAATAATAATCAGCTAAAAATTTTGGAATGTTTACAGGCACTATTCTAAGGTGCTTTATGTATCTCATTTAATCTTACTACAATCCTATGAGATAAATATTATTATCATCACTATTTTACAGATAAACTGAGTCACAGAGAAGTTAAATAATTTGCTAAATGGCATACAACTGGTACACGGAACAAGT